CTGTGTTGTCTTTGTTCCTTTGGTCTTGCTTTGTGCTGTTCTCTGCTTTATTCTGTTTCCCGTGTTCTACAGTTTGTGACTCAACACTCCTCATTTCTTGTCTGCGAGTTTCTTTGCCTTGAGAACAAATGCTGGTATGATGTCATCCCTGACACTTGCCACACCGTGTTCTTGATTAACAGATTTTGCTTATATGGTTCTTCATGGTACAAACATAACAACGGCCACTACGTTTAAGGATCTCCTTCCTTTTTGTAACATTTGTGACTACTGTACAGTTAATCGATAAATGTGGTTGAGCACAGTAAATGCAGGTATGTTCTCTATTTCCTCCAACCACAAATGCTGATGTTGTTATAGGATCTTTTGGGCCAAAATATTTACCACGATTAAATCTTTTATGTTCCTCCTGAGGGTTCTTAGTTGCTGCTACTATTTCACATCGTTCTCTGTTTGTTAGTTCTTCATTAAGTTGTTTTAAAACTGATTTAAAGTTCCATGACTTTTCCGATACTTTACTGCATATATCCAATCTAATTTCCTTTGGAATTTTGTTTAACAACAAAGGTAGAAATAGTTCGCCGTATTGTTCTGGTTTGCACCCCAGGGACTCCAGTGCCCTCATATGGGCTTCAATGTCATCGCTCAATTGTCTCATAGCCTATCGCACATGTTCAGTCCCGTCATGCAATTCGCAATTCGCGTTATATAATCTATCCCTTTCTATCTAAGCATGTTCATAAATATCCTACACCCTGGATAACTTGTTACCTCCCCCTCTGAGACGTTTTGAAAACTAGTGTATACCATAAATTGAAAATGGGTATGCAGTATTATCGACATATGTAGACACATATATACAGTGTATACAGCTATTTCAATTAAGGTTGTCCACGAGCAAAGCGGAAAAGTCGAATACGAGCGCGATAGGCTGCTGGGAATCGCTAACAAATTAATGAATTTTCAAAGTGGTTCCCTTTTCCGCTTTGCTCGTGGACAACCTTAATTGAAATAGCTGTATACATCACTTTGAAAATCGTATACATAAATATGCGTTTTCCTCCATATTACATTGTGCAACATATACCTCATTCCTTATACTGTATTACTCAATGTCAAGAAGCCATATAAATTTTTCCCTGGATATCCAAATTCTTTCCAGCGATTAGCGAGTTAATAAACACCCTTTTTACAACCGGCCTCTGCTCTGGATGGATGGATGGATCAACTTTGTTTAAAAACACACTAATCTTTTCAACAATATTAATGCTGGTTTCCAAAAGAGGTGTGTACTACTGTGATAGAATAACTCCCCAATTAATTACCTATGATCTATAAATATGAATTTGTTTACTAATAAGTACTATAAATTAATAAAGAAATCTAAGAAATTACTACTATAATTTAAGCATGATTATTGCTAAATGAAAAGGTCGAGACCTGGTTTATCATAATTTTAAATTAATAGAAAGCATATTAAATAACTACTCAACTGAGAAACACATTGTGGGGGTCCCTGGGCAGAGTTAACATGTTTCAGCCAGTAGGCTTTAATAGCAACCAATCTTGAGGAAGTGGGAGATCGCCAAAAGTCGGTCCAGAATTTCGGCTACGAGTGTTGTTTAATTCACAAGCCATTTTTTATCCAAATTCTTCAACTCGGTGCCAGAAAGTGCAGGAAATGGCGTTTCCGAGCCTCAACTTTGCAAATTCTCCCTGGGGAAGCATGTCCCTGGACACCCCTAGTTTTCATAGTTTTCACCGCTCCTAAATTTAAATGCTATTGCTGTTAACAGTTCACTCATGTTTTGCGTGCCGTATCTGCACTTGGCTGAAAATCTTAACTATGGTTCCCAGCTTAGCTGGAACTGATAAAAAATAATTGATAAAAATCTGTTCCGCATCCTAGATCGTCCGAACTCCCCCCCCCCCCCTAGCAATTTGTTGATTGTACGCCCGTGGACTGAAAGCTATCGTGCCCTGAATATTTATTGGTGTTCTTCAGTCCGTGTTTTTGTTAAAGTATCTTTTTGTGAAAACGTTACAGTTCCCGTTAAATACCTAAAAATACTGATCTGAATTTAATAATAACAAAGTTCATCATACAATGCGTGGCGCCATCTCTTTCGTTACCACAAAATTTACTAAAAAAAATATTGGCAATATATATAGTCCAGGAAAAAGTCCAGGCAGTTAAATTCGCGTAGCAGTTTACAGTTACGGCAATGCATGGAAATATCCGTGGTCAATCAAATTATTGAGTTCAATTGTGCATGTGTGCTGTCAATAACGCCAATAAGTACAGAAAACGATTTTTTATTCTATCATACATGTAAACTCACACAAATTAGTCAATACGTATCGTTTGCAGATGTAGTCTGTTTCGTGTCTAGATTGATGAATAAAGAAAAGCAACATGTCGAAAGACTTTCCAGGTGAAGACTTGAGGAGCAAGCTGAAGCCAAAGCCGCCTAACAGACGACGTGTGTTTTTACAGACCTCGCCTCCAAACACTACATCTAATCATCGTTCTCCGCAAGGTAGCCATTTTCTGCAAATAATATGTTAATAATTCAGGCATGTTAATAAGTTTCATCTTGAGACCCAAGGTTCAAGAAAAACAACAGGACACAAATTGAAATGTTGCAAAGTGCATGATATCGAATTTATTACCACTCGAGTTGCCACTCAGGCTATTTTTCTCAAATCTTGGGCCGTTAGGTGAAAATTCTATTCGGAGCCTGTTTCTTCCTTCAAGCCTGTATTTCCAAGTTCTTTTTTAGAGCGAAATTCTTATTTTCCTGGAGAAAACAACATACCATTGAAATTCAACGAAAGAAAAAGAACTAATGATGATCAAGACAAAACCGATGATCTCAGAAAACGATTATGTAACAATGACCGGATATCTCTAACCACATCACAAAATCTAATTTCGACTGAAGTATATCGTGGACATGGTAAAAGGTCGTTGACACCTGCAGGTAAATTGGGAACCAGCATCGGCAAAATCCCCGGGGGGGAATGGTTTTCAGGACGACATGGTAATTTTCCTGGAATAAACCAGAAAACAAGCGATGCAACACAGAAACCACGCGATGATCAGAATAACAATCACAATCCCAAAAAGTCAAGATTTTTTTACAATGATCGGAACCGAGTGTCTACCACTAAAGAAAGCGCATGCGGTCGACAATCCTTTAAACCTTTTAAAACTGGGGAAACTATCAGCCGAAATCTAGACAGTCGAAATCATGCAACAACAACCCCCAAACCTATGAGTTATACATACCTTAAAAATCTCTGTGATGATCAAGTACCCCCTGAAGATGCCTCATCCAAATTGTCTGAACATGAACAACTTCAACGTTTCGAAGCATTGTTACAAGAACATGAGATAAGATACGATCTTATGAAATTGATTATATCTGTGGTCTATAAAGTATGCCAATCAAGAATACCCACTCATCTAAACAAGATTATTGGTATCTTGAGCATGGTACGATTCTGGTCCACTCTGGGTAAATTTATTGTTGAACTTGAGACTAAAAACGAATGCCTCTCAGACCCTCATGTTCCTTCCGTACTGAAACATCTTTGTGGGATCCTCAGTATATCATTACAACGTTTACCTCACCTCTATTCTTGCATACCCTTACCTCAACTACAAAGTGCTGTTAAGCACTTTAAGGAAAACGGAAATTTTCCGATAGACTCCACTGTTGACAGTCTTTTGATGGACGTGACAGGCAGATGCGAACTTGTAAAGAAAGGGATCCGTGAAAAGGGGCAAGCGCAAGCTGAGCCACCGGATGATTTTCGAACGCTAAGTGTATTTCCAACAGAGGACGATATTTTCAAGAAAGGAAAACCATTCCTAAGAGAAAATATTGTTAAGAAGCCGTTTTCAACTGTGAACCAATATTTGGATATTCACTTTCGACTTCTCAAAGAGGATTCCCTAGCAGGTCTACGTAACGGAATTTGGGATCTTCAGAAGAGTCACAGACAACAGCAGTATGGTCAAGCAGCAGTTGACAGTTTGTCTAAATCAAGCAATGCCAAACCACAGAATGATGTCATTGTATATAATGACGTAAACATTAACGAGCAAGTACAGGCAACGAATCGCCAGGTTAACACCAAAGGTATTATCTACAACGTTGAGTTTAATCCAAAGGATCCGTCCATCAAACGTATCAACTGGACACGGTCGAAGCGACTCTTGCATGGCTCACTTGTATGTTTGATATCGACTGATTTCTACAAAGTTTATTTTGCTACAGTACAAAACCGCAGTCCGGACATGCTCAGCGAAGGTTACGTTCAATTATGCTTTGAAGGAAATGAATATCCTGGTTATGATGATATGCGAGGGAAATATCGCATGGTAGAAAGCAGTTCAGCATACTTCGTGGCATACCGTCACATTCTTGAACGTCTACAAGACATGAACGAAGAAACGATGCCATTCAAAAAGTACATCGTGTTTTGTGAACGTGAAATTGACAAGGTAATTCAAAACAAACCTAGTATGTAGTAATTTTGACTTCCCCAGGTATTTTTCCAGTTTCCGAAGCGAAGGATAAGGAACGTTATAATGCCCGTATAGAACGTTATAATGCCCTATATGTTTCGAAAAGCAAAGAGAAAAATGAAAGTTATTCTTATACTCAAATTGTTTAAAATGTATTTATAGTTGTAAGTCCCATACAGACGAACAAGATTTTTACCCCACTAGACTGCCTTGCTCGTTTATTTCTTCTTTTTACCTAACGTAGAGCCCTTGTCATATGCACTAGCAATTCTGTCATTTTTAATTATTATTTTACACCGTCGATTCGTCCAACTCCGCTTTCCTCTGTTCCCCTTTATCTCCAGCTCTATAATGTCTCAGACTAAGCTCTCCTTCATATCTTCTTGCGTGTCCATGCAATCACAGCCTTACTTGCTTCACAATCTTTATAATGTCTACTATCTCACATCTTTTGCGAAGCTTCTAGGCCCACTTTAACATTTGCAGTCCTCATCAGGGCATTTTTACCGCCATTACTCCCCACAGAAGCACACAGCTCAGCTCAGCAATGTTTTGTAGATATGATGTTGCATCAGTTAACTGTAATTCAGTAGTTAACCACGTGTCATTGACTAAACTGATCATGAGTTGCACGAAACGTAGTGGGGTGTGCGTAGGGTACTTAAAAAATTGAGTATTGAATATAACAAAATAATCGAGTCATGATTTGAAATCAATTTAGAAAGCGTTTTTCATAACCCTCCTCCGCAGGGATATCTATGGGTTTTAGCCCGCGAATGGGTAGTTCGATAAAAATATCGTTCTACCTGATTCCCCCGATTAGTCTAAGTTAATTCATTAAATGAAAGTCCCAGCCCCCAGGCAAAATGGAATTGGGATTTACAATTGTTGTTTAATTTTAGCCTACTTATTTGAAGATAAAATCAGAGGAAGAGAATCCTAAAACGATTAACTTGGAATCTGCAAAGCTACAGGAAAAAAAGCTACAGTTGTTGCAGTTGGCAGATGATGACAAAACTTCCCATCTAAAGAATGTTAGTCCGTATGACTTGCGCACGTGGCCAGATGGCGATGTGATTGGTCTTAATGAGTCGCAGTATAAAGCATTCCAGTCTGCTTTGCAAAGAGAATTCGCTGTCATTCAGGGACCCCCTGGCACCGGTAAGACATACGTGGGATTAAAAATTGCCCACACTCTCCTGGATAATAATCACTTGTGGAAAGAAGCAGACGGCGAGAAATCATGTCCTATACTTATGTTTGCTTATACTAACCACGCTTTGGATTCATTCTTAGAAGGACTGACCATCAATCGAAAAGGTATTGTTTTATTCATTTGCCATAATTACAAAGGCAATATTCACTATGCTCTATTAATTATATCCAACAGATGATAGTCAATCGAAAGTTTTCAGTGGGGGAAAATGTACTGTTAATTATTTCCTCTTTACTACGTGGAAATCATGTTTTTGGGAAATACAATAAATAAGAGATATTTAATTTGATCATGGTTTGGTTCCTTGTATATAAGTGTTAACACGTATGAAGTTGACCATCTGTTGTACTGTATTTCGTTCTGAGAACAACCAACATTACGACGTTTAGCAAATAAAACACGAATGGAAGTTGACATTTTATGCTTATTAAAAAGAGGAAATTACTAGGCGTAATCTTAAAATCAACTTAGGGATCACTTTATATACAGTTTCGCATGCCACTCATTACCAAATTTTTAAAGTTCCTCAGACGATTGTATATTATGCAAAGAATAAGTCTTTTCTAGATAAATTTAACAATCTTAAAAATCATTTTATACGTGATATGATATATAAGATTATTGGTTTTTATGCGACAAATTGTGCGGACTGCCTCTGTTAAAATAAACATCGTTTCCTAAGGTAAACTAAGTCTCATTTACTTACATATAGATATTATTCGCGTTGGAGGTCGTAGCTCAAGTGATATACTTAAAGAATGCAATATAAGTATAGCGAGAAAAGAACGTCGAAACACAGAATATCAAAATGGCGTGAGACGATTAGGTGGTAGAAGGTTTCGTGAAGTTGAACGTGAAAAGGAAATATGTCAAGCAACGCTAAATAGACACACGGAGCTCTACGCCAAATCTTTCAAGGGAATACTTCCTGCAACAGAATTTGTGAGGCGCGGCATGCGGACGAACCACATGGTATACCTCTCAGACAACAATGATATGCTTAAGTTTCTCGGAATATCTTTGAATCCTGGGGCGGAACAGAATGCAGCGAAATTGGCAGACGAAGAGGGTTTTGACGAGTTTCATGGACAAGAACTCGGTGGACACTTTTACGTAGGACATAGTGAAGACGACGAACAACGAGAATCCAAAAACAAAGTTTTGATTTGTTTTGCAGAAGACACATCCAAACCTGAGGGGATATTAGAACTTCTGGAAACAGATGTGCTCGAAACTGAAACAACTGAGGAACTGGAAGAAAGAACTGGCGGTGCAGATTTTTCACGGCTAAGTGTAGAACAGAGATGGTCACTTTATTTACTGTGGTTGACAAGACTTCGTGAATATTTGCGTGTTGAAATAAGAAAAGAACAAACAAAATATTTGGAACTAAGTAACGAATACGAAGAATTGCGTAATATCGAAGATCTTGCTATAATGCGAAATTCTCGAGTCGTTGGCATGACAACTACATGCGCATCAAGAAACCACAAACTTCTTCGACAACTTCAGCCTCGTGTTGTGATCATTGAAGAAGCTGCGGAAATATTTGAGGCCCACGTTGTCACTTGTTTAACAGAGTACTGTCAGCACTTGATTCTTATCGGTGATCATCAACAACTTCGACCAAATCCAAGTGTCTACAACTTAAGTGTGAAGTACAGTCTTGATGTATCTTTGTTGGAAAGAATGATCGAAGCGGGTGTTCCCTATAACCGTTTGTCCGTGCAACATAGAATGCGACCTGAAATTTCTAAGATGTTTCGCCACATTTATGATGGTCTTGAAGATCACGCATCTGTTACGGAATACGAAAACATCCGAGGTGTTATCAAGAACTTGTTTTTCATTGATCACGATGTCCGTGAGAGTGTCCACGACAATGTTCATAGTAAAGTCAACCAACACGAGGCAGAATTTCTTGTCGAACTATGTTTCTATCTTTTACGACAAGGCTACAAATCATCGCAGATTACGATCTTGACGACCTATACAGGTCAGATGTTTGTTACTCGAGATCTCATAAAGAGCAGGAAAGACGAATTTGAAGACGATTTGCCTCGAGTTTCCAGCGTAGATAATTTCCAAGGTAAAGAGAATGATATCATCCTGCTGTCGTTAGTTCGAAACAATGAAGAAGAAAACATAGGCTTCTTAAAGACCAACAATCGTGTTTGTGTTGCTCTCTCTCGTGCAAGAAAAGGACTTTACATTATCGGCAACAGAAAGATGCTGTCGAACCAAAGCCCACTCTGGAAACAAGTGCTGGCTGACTTCGACAAAAGTGGTTGCATTGGAAAATCACTGCCTGTAGCATGTAGTAATCATCAAACAGAAAATTTAGTTTCCAGTGCTGCAGAATTTAAGAAACTCGTTCCTAATGGTGGCTGCTTAGAAAAATGTCAACATCGTCTTGAATGTGGTCATGCCTGTCCCCAAATGTGTCATCCAAATGGCCATGAAAATTTCAAATGTGAGAAACCTTGTGCAAATAATGTCAATGGTTGCAACGTGTCGGGTCATAAATGCACAAAGCTCTGCCACGAGACGTGTGATCTTATATGTCAGTATCCTGTTGATAAAATGTTGCATTGTGGGCATCCGATAACTTTGGCATGCAGTAATGATGTTAATATTGCAAAGTGTAAAGAACAATGTGTAAAGACACTTGTGTGTGGCCATCGTTGTCAAGCTAAATGCAGTGCATCGTGTACCAAAAAATGCATGGAATTAGTGAAGAAAACGGATTTCTCATGCGGCCATGACAACACATTGGCTTGCTCGGCTACTCAAAAAGATTGTGGAGTTCCATGTAATACCTTGTTGGAGTGTGGACATCCTTGTGATGGCAGGTGCGGACAGTGCATTCAAGGAAGAGTTCACGTAAAGTGTGTGAAGAAATGCAACCGAAACCTTGTTTGTTCACATCAGTGCAAGAGCAACTGCACAAAAGATTGCCCACCTTGTAAAGAGGAGTGCCCGCGAAGATGTTGTCACAGCAAATGCGAAAAGCGTTGCGGGGAAACATGTATTCCATGTAAGGAACCATGTGAATGGGAATGTGAACACTACAAGTGTACTCAACTGTGTAGTGATACATGTGACCGTCCTAGGTGTGATCAACCATGTAAAAGAAAGCTAACATGTGGTGATGGAAGAACCCATGTCTGCCGTGGCCTATGTGGGGAACGTTGCGTTTGTACTACTTGTTATACGAATAACGGCGAGGATGTGAGAACAATTTTGTTTGGAACCGAAGACGAAGAAGATGCAAGATTTGTCATGCTAAAAGATTGTGAACATATATTCGAGTACACCGCTTTGGATAAAATGATGGATGGAATTGATAATGAGATTAAACCAAAAGTCTGCCCACTCTGCAGGATGCCAATTGTAAAGTCGTTGAGATATGGGAATGTTGTGAAAAGAATACATAATGATCTCGACAATATAAAGAGGAAGATTTTGGGCAGCACCACTGAGTTTGAAGAGAAAAGATTTCTGGTATTGAAACTTGCACATGATCTGAAAAGTAAAATTCCGTTGATATCAATGAATATGAAACCAACCGATATCGAGAAAGCGTGGAAAGCGGTTGTTGACTATATTAGCCGAATGTACAAATCTTCGTCAGTGTACTATCAAGACATCATATTGTTTGAATCTGAAACGCATCTTTTGAAAAATTGGCATCTCATTAGCAAGTCCTACGAAGAAGCACTACAATCTCAAACTCGGTCGTCCAGCCATATTGAATTTGACAGCGAGATGCAGAATGTGTTAAGTCGAATCTTGGTGCTTCCTGCACATACCAGTACACGTATCTTGAGACAACTGAACTTGGAACTCCAACGATTATCTTTAAAAAGAGATATATTGGTCCTCAAGTTGAATTGTTCTAGTCTTGAATTCACTCTTGATGAAGACGATGACGAAATCGTCACAAGGATTCAGAAGGTCTTACAAAACAAAGAAATAATTATGGAAGATTTTCTTGAAACGTTTAAGGAAGGAATAGCGGATATTTATTCACGAAACCCGCAGCTTTCTCCTATTACTAAAGAAGAAAAAATTCAAATTGTTCGTGCAGTTGGTTTAAAGCAAGGTCATTGGTTCAAGTGTCCTAACGGTCATTATTATGCAATAGGACAATGCGGAGGTGCAATGGAAGAAAGCAAATGTCCTGAATGTGGTGCAGTTATTGGTGGTCAGCATCATCGTCTAGCAGATGGTAACGAGCTAGCACCTGAAATGGATGGAGCAGCGCATCCAGCTTGGTCAGATCAAGCTAACATGGGAAATTACCAATTTGGCGATTGAAAAACGTCTAATAGAGATACTTTGATGATCTTCTGACTTCTGGATTATTACGTTTACACCCAATGTGATGCATTTTTATCGATTATAATTACTATTGTAGCCCTATGGATTAGCAGCAATCCTGAAAAGGTAATTAACACTAATGAATGCACCAAAGGCAAGGTTGTTCTCAATTACTTTATAGATAAGAATAGTTCTGCTTTTAAATTCGACAATAATTAGCGCCATAGTGGCGAAAACTAGCTACGTCCGCGTAACTATACAATAGCGCTCCAGACTTGATATTTACAGACGAATAGCATCGCATTAGCTGATAAAAATATTTCAAGACCTTTCGAACGATTAGAAGTTCTCTTCTCGTAAGATCGTGGATCTTCTTACCATAGCTTGTTTTCTGGCGGGTCTGTGTATTTCCTGCTCAGTTAAGATCAAAGCATTCGGCCATTCGTTTGCACACGCTCTTGACTGTTTCACTAACATGACCAAAAACGGTATCTAATAGCAGGTGCATATCACGATTGACAAGAATGAATCTTGGATGTTTCGTGCATAGCTAAGTGATATGCCAGCATAACATTGGGGATGCGCGTATGCCAAACACAGTTAAACACGGTATTGTCACGGTGATTCTACGACGAACATCAAAAGCATAGAAAACTGCAGAGTCCGACATAATGTATAAGCGCCCTGGATCGACTTAATCTTCGACAGCGTCATCTGACTGATGATATGGTATGGTACGCCCCTCGTTTTACCTATGACGACGTGTTTTTTTTTTGCTGACGTGGGAAAAGGAGAATTCAAAATTTCCATTCCTGACCTAAATGAAGACTTTTGAAAGTGCCAATCTATACATCATCAACTATTTTGGAAGCGACTATCAATTGATTTGGGATTAAATCGTGCTTCAGTTGCACTTGCGGCGTTATTTCGTGAAATATATGTTCCCTATACACTAACAAACAGTACCAACAGTTGCTTTCACTTCAAGCTTTCTACGAGATCGGTAGTCGTGGAACTTTCCCCAACACTTTAAAGGGACGCCCGTCGGCGCAACTAATTAACTAATTAACAACATTATGGTAATAGTACCAAACTTCATTGTAGTCTAGTGCCAACTGGCAATATTTTATATTCTTAGTTCAGATACATAATTGCCAGCATATAGGCGTACGAGAGGAAAAAAATTAGGGGGGCGGACATGTACAACCAATAAAATTTAAAATGTTCCGTATACATCAGGCATAAACTTCCCATAGTCCTGTCGTTTGGGGGAGGGGGGAGTGAAATATTAGCATGATACTGATATACAGACATTTTCGCAACGTTCAACATGCCTTTTTTTGAAGGATTTTAGGGAAAGTACATTTATTATGCCGAGGGGGGCACCGAAATATTTTCTGGCATTAAAGGGGGGGCTCAGCTCTGAAAGTTCTCGATATACTGAAGGGGGGGGGCTCTAAACTTTTCAACGTTTTTGCTCCAGCAGGGGCCTGGAGTATTCACTCCCACCATAGTTAATAGAATAGATGGTTTGGAAACTGATTAGAATAACAATATAACTCATTACCCATGTTAGTGAACAATAACATTCATAGATCTGGTCTTTTACCTTCACGTGAGACGTATTGTATTTTTGCCCCACTAACCAATAGCAATGTTTTAGGAAAGTTGCGTATCTACCACTCAAACAATATGATAAATTGAAAATTGCGGTGAAAGAATATATTTATGAATAAACGTTGACTAACATAGATAATGAGTTATCTTGCTATTCTAATGATTTCCAAACTGTCTATACTATATTAACCGACATTGGGGGAGCTCCACATGGAATACGTAAAAGAAGGTTGCAACACACCTGTCAAAAATGCATCCAAAAGCACCAATATGCTTCAACTTCTGAAATTTTTATTCTGTTTCTACCAAATTTTACATGAATATAGAACATATCGTTCTTACAAATCGAGGGTTTTTTTGGAATTGCTACTTTTTGGCGGGTAAATTATGTCACAAACGTGGCGCCAAAAATTAAAATAAGCTATAGGTGATTTTACTGAATCCATTTGTAGAGCGGACCAAGGGTATTTTAATTAATTAAACTGAAATCTGTTTCTAAATACAACCATTTTATGGGAAGATATAGCGATACAAGTGTCGAAAAATCGGCCATATTGTTACTAAAAATAGAACAAAATGGCGGATTTTTAGAAATTTAAGTCATTATATCTTCGCAAGGAATGGTTGTCAGGGACGTAGCAACTGGGGGTTGTGGGAGGAGGGTGTAAAGTTTCCCCCTACTGTGAAATTCAGGCAAAAATATGTAAAATTCAAGTTAAAATTTTGACATTTTCAGGTAAAATTAGTGTGTAATAAAGTAATTATTTTTGCGAAATAAAGTAATTATTTTTGCGAAATGATAACCACTTTTGTAAAATACAGTCCATTTACATGCAATTTGTTTGCGAGTTTGCTTTAGAAAACGCCGGAAATTCAGTCCTAGAGCTTCAAAAATGTAAAAATTTTCAGGGGGAGGACCCCAGACCCCCCTTTTCTCCCAAAACTTAGTATGAGAGTGCCAATCAATCACAAAAAGCTTTATTATAATTATTACACGTATAATCCTCCGACATCCCCCCTCCAAACGTCAGATGCTTTGCTACGTCCCTGATGGTTGTATTTGAAACCGATGTCAGTTTAAGATGTCTTTAGTCTGCTCTTCCAAAAACAAAAAAAGCATACGATTTGTAATAATGATATGTTTTGTGTTCATGGGATATTTAGTACAAACGGGATAAAAAGTAAAGAAATTGAAGCATACTGGCGATTTTGACAGGCATGCAAAGACATTTGCAACAGATGCCAGGTGATATGTTGGCAATTTCATTCGATTCCGAATGTTGGGGGGGAGGGCATTGAAAATTTAAAAAACTTGAAGGGGGGCTTCGAAAAATTTCCAATAACCTCAACAGGGGCCCTGAAAAAAAATGTGCGTTTTTCAAGACATCTTCATCCCCCCCCCCCCCCCAGCGTAATAAATGTACTTTCCCTTACTAAACTAAGTTGAATCTGTCCGATTTAAAAATTATTTGGGGGAGGGGGCTGCAGCACACGCACCCTTTGGTACACCTATGATTGCCAGTAATTATAACCAACCATCTTTAATATTTCGGGTAAACCGAAACAAGCAGCTGTTAGAAAATGCGTCAATTTAAAATTTAGTTTAACAGACAAATCATGTTAATACAGTAGTGCATTGTCTTATACTGTCTATACTGAGAACATATGTTAGTCTGTTAGTTATGGGTTAGGTCATAGGGCTCAGCCTGAGATCTCAAATTACTCAATTTCCCAGATTTCAGATGGCCTGATGGTCTGGTTTCATGTCAAATTATGGAATATGGACGATGACGAATATCCGCCATTTTTGGGTGGCATCCAATTCTAAAACAATGTGAAAAGCAATTTCTCAAAAGAAACTAACCATTTACAAAGCAAATTTACCATCATTTGTCGAAAAAATTATATAAAGTCGCTGTTATGTGGACTTATCTCACAGACTTCGGCTGAAATGCCACCCAAAAATAGTGGCGTGGAAAGGCTAATTAAATTTGTAGCCATGTTAAATTCAAAATTTTCATGTTCTATAATAACATATTTAAAGAGGTCAAAACGTTGCCAGAACTAAAATTTTCATGATCCCCTCCCCTGAATTACTCCTCAAACTCTGGTGATACCCCAAAAAGAAACACCAAACTTTTTTTGACCCCCCCCCCCATGATTTCACTGTCCCCCGAAATCATAAATAATGAACACAGAACTGCTCCCTTAAATGACTTTGCCGAATTACTTTGGCCTTTGCTAAAATAGCCGGCAATCGTCCATTACGTTCTTTGAATAGAACTCAAATATAACTCGCAACAAAGATGGCCATAAACGCCGAATGCCGATGATTCAAAACTTATGTATATAGCAATATACCCATCCAATATTTGAATATTATTGAGAAAGGCTAATAACAAGAGCTTTTGCACTATTACTAATGTCATAAAATAAAGACCTTTTTATTGTTTAACTGATATTGTACATAACATATTTATACACTTGTACTGTATTTTATATAAAATGGGGGAGGGGGTCACAAAAGTTTTTGGTCTTTTCTTGGGGGGGGGGTATCACGTAAGTTTTGCTGTTGCCAGAGGGGGGTCATGTAGATATTGAGATGGAGGATGTGTGAAACCATAAATAATGAACACTCCAGGCCCGTAACTGAGGGGGGGCATTGCCCCCCCCCCCCACTCCGAAATTTGGTATGAAAAATTGAGATAAAGGACCTGGAAACCAATTGTAATCATGGGACAAATTCTGTAAATTTTGTGGTAAATTTTGTGATGTTTCGAAAAATTTTGTTAGGTTTCGGAAAAATTTGGTCTGTCCGGAAAAAATTGATATGTCCGGAAAAAATTTTTGACCCCTAAAACGGTACACTGACCGAAATTTTTTTGGCGACGGGGGGGGCTCATCTCAAACCGTCTGTTACATTCTTTCTGCAGTGCCCCCCCCCCCAGAAATTGAGAGCCAGCTACGGGCTTGGAACACTCCCTAAAAGCGTAATTGATTAGACAGTTACTATGCGTGAAAATTCCATCCATTTTTAATCTGTTCTGTATATATATAAATAATGCACGAGAAATTGCAAAGAGAAATTGTTATTCGCTCAAATGAATTCAATTAACATGAGCAAAAAGGATTTTAAGTTAATTAACATAAGGAAAAGAAAACATATCAATATACAAAATAATTTTCCTCACAATTCAATAAATGCCTCACGCCCCTATCCCTGCCCATCAAGCCACTGGCACCATATTTGGATGCAATCACCTACAGTCACATGATCACGCTACTGAATAAATCCTACTCCACCCCTTCCATCATAAGCATTCAAACTCACTATACTGTTGAGTCAGTTTTACCCCGAAAGGACTAGCAAATTACTTCGCTCCTAAAATAAAGTTAAAGAAGAACAATAAAGTACGTAATGTTGGACTGTCTCGCAACAACAAGACCTTTGGCAGGATAATTTACTAGTAACATATTCAGTAATTTCATCCTTTTCACTTTCTTTCAACCTTCATTTTTGTACTGTGTAATTCATAATAACTTCGTAATAATTTGTTTTCTCTGGTTTCACATATGTTCAGTGCTCCCAATCTCTCCTGCATTCTAGTTTCACTCTGCAAACTCTATCTACACCCCCCTTAAAAAAACCCTGCTGAAGAAGACTGTTAGGTCGAAACGCGTACAGGGTTGCCTTTCCTATTCCAATTCAATCTCTCGCTCTTATATATCCTCGCCCTCATCGTGTCACATATAAAATTCACATATTCAGTTACTATTTAATCGTAGTTTCCCTTGTTTTTTGCGTACATGTTCACCATCACAGGAGTCGGAGTAAATAAATATAGGATAACCAATTGAACTACTGGTCCTCATTATTTTGACTACCTATTTCATACCATTGTCATTGAATGAATATAGCATTCTCACTCGGGTTGTATTTTAACTGTTAATTTCAAGATTCGGCACTAGATCATAGACAAGATACGCACATATCTGAAACTGCAATACATACGAGTCAGCGGTATTCGATATTTAAAATTCAAATAAATTAGTGCGCGAAATTGGGAAAAACGCGCGAAACCAAAGCAATATGGCTTCCATCGAAGAGTATAGCGATAGTGACCGGGTGCTTGTTTGCGCTTCACAAGCAGAAATGCTTGAGAAATTTGAAGAGTTCAAAATAAAAACAAGTAGTGGTTGGAGATGTATCAAATCAAACGCACTTTTTGGTAAGTGAACTAATTTCAATATGTAAATTTGTCTTATAAATATTCATACGAATACCGTGTGTGCAAGATTCATGAAAGATCCAAATTATGCATACATAAAACCTTTATCGATTTACTGCAGTACTACACTCATATAATAATATAGTATGTCTTCATAAAGGTCGAAAGATACATGTGCTTTA